GGAAAAGAAGACAAATAAGGGGGAGATCACAGCTCTGCTCATGCACACCACAGCTCTGCAAGCTGCCTGATGTCACCCAGCCCCACTGTACAATGCCTACAGCACTGTCTGGGGCTAAACCCACTTTACTTTTGACACTACTTCCAGCACCATGCATGGGGACAAGTGAGGACACCAGAGGATTTTGTAGCCCGTGCAGGGCTCAGGACACCTACAAGTGCCATGGCAACCTGTAATTGTTTCCCAGCTTCAGTGTGGAAGTCTGGGTGTCCCACAGTGTCACAGCTTTCCCTAAACACTTTTTCCTGAGCTTCCCATCTTTCATCTTCTCTTAAGAAATTATAGGTGCAGATCTGCCTCACATGAAGAGTTACATATTCAGGAACCACACAGAACTAATAAAACGCCATACATAAATAAAGAAAAGGACGGCTGTTGCAGTCACTTAAAGTTTACTGTGAATATTGAGCTGGGATGATGGCAGGTCTCAGACATGGCTACAGGATTGTGGAGGAGGTGTTTGAGGAGTTCTAGGGGACTTGAACTCAGTTTACTGGGTCTGAACGAGTGAGCTCATCTCTCAGTGCCAACATAAAACCATCTTAGTGGGGATAAGGTGGGCACAATGATCCTGGAGAAAAGCAAAACCACTGCAATGTGGTCAGAAAATTTGATGTAAATGGATACTTCTTTCTTTGCTCCCTAACCTTTTTCTAGAGCTTCTTCTTGGTCTTGTCCAACAGTTCTTCTTAGAAAGGTCATATCTAGGGAATGGCCAGCTGTTGCCAAAACTTCCTCCTCCAGTAGCTCCTTCTCAGAGAACATGGCATCTTGTACCTGCTGAGTCCATGCTCTGGCTTGACTGGCACCTTCATGGTCCCTCTTCCTGGTGTTCTCCTCTGGGACTTGGGTCACCTCAGTGTTGCCTCCATAGAAATCTCCCGTCCTGTTGGCAAAACCTCTTTCCACATTGACCATATGGACTTTCCTTCCAACTCTCCTCTTCTTCTTTTTCCTGATCTTGTTCTGGAAGAAGAGGCAGGTGAAGGCCTGCTTAAAACGCTTGCGGAAATGCTTGGAGATGAGGGCGTAGACAATGGGGTTGAGGCAGGAGTTGGTGTAGGAAAGGCAGTGGGAAGCCAGGCGGAAAGCATAAGTGGCCCGGTTGAAGGGAAAGTGGCCAAACCAGAAGCAGAGGATGACCAGGTGGTGGGGCAGCCAGCAGAGGCAGAACAGGATGGCCACTGTGACAATCATCTTTGTAACCTTACTCTTGGCTTTCCGAGACACTGAGATTCTTTCTATGGGGTCTACAGAAGTCCACAAGAACTTTATGGTCCTAGTGTATGCCAGGATCACCACAGTCACAGGCAGCAGGTATCCAAATACAAACGTGATGATGTCCAGAATCTTCCGGCGCTGGTCCTCCCAGATGGGGACACAGATGGGCACGCCATGGTAATGGATTATCTGGTAGTAACTGAGGTAAGGCCCTGCGAAGAGCAGCGACAGTGACCAGATTACCACAATGGCCACTCCTGCATTTCGAGACGTGCGGAGATCCCGGGACTTCAGTGGATAGCGAATGGCCAAGTACCTGGCAAGGAGGGGAAGAAGGAGACAAAACACAACACAGGTGACATGAGGCACTCCTGCCCTATGGAGCTGCCATTTGTTTACCCCTTCCCATGCAGCCACCCATCTCTTCCCTCCCAAACCTTTTGGGAATGAGAGTTACAGTGAATTCACAAAAATATCAGGGTCATTCCAACAGTGGGTGTGGGATCTCTGTCATCCACTCTGCTGTGCTAGGTCAGGAAAGGCAAGCAGTGTATCTCTTGAACCAGGTAAGAGAAGCATAGGAGCAGGACTCTCCTGTTTCTTCTGAGTTGTATTGCTGCCCTGGGGGCTTTGCTGTTCTTGCTTATGCATGGTGGACTCCTTCCCAGGTGAGCACTAGATAATTAGGCTGAGAGCTTGGCTTAGTAGAGGGGGAGGCCATGGGTAGCTGGGGAGATTGGCTCTGCTGGCCCTACCTCTGGAGAGACCCAACCTACTTCTTACAGGACACCCAACAGGATAAGTAGTGGCCTTTCTCCCACCCTTAGCTCAAGAGGAACAAACACAGTGTCCCTGAGCTGCAGAACTCAAACGGAAGGGGACACTTACCTGTCAACAGAAACAGCAGCCAGGGTAAAGCTGCTGGCATACATGGTGAGGTAGATCAAGAAATGCACAGCCTTACAGGCAAAGGCCCCAAAGAGCCACCCATCCAGGGTATAAATGGTGGCCTGGAAAGGGACACAGCAGATGATGAAGCACAGGTCAGCCACAGCCAGGTTGAGGATGAAGAGGTTGGTGGTAGAGTACTTGACTTGGCCATTCCACAGCAGCACAGCCAGCACCAGCCCATTTCCCACAATACCCACAAGAAAGATGAAGGAGAAGATGATGGGCACAATAATCCCTGCTGCTCGTAGCTCTGGGCTGTCAGAAGAGATGTTCAATCCCCCTGGCATCTTCCTGTCAGACTACAGAGACCTGCATTGGGAGAAAGGGATAATAGGCCCCAAAGTGCTTGACCCCAGCCTTTGACACTCACATTTTTCCCAGAGATGCAAATCCCAATCGGCTGACTAAATGATGCCTCCAAGATCCTCGTGACATCACTGGCAAGAATGCTGTTGTGGTCAGTCAGGCCATACCTGCCTGGGTTGAGCAGAGCTGAAGCCTCTTTCTCCTGCCCGGATTCACATTGCCATCAGAACATCTCCTGTGCTCCTGGCACTCCAAAGGATCCTTCCTGCCCTGCCACCTGGCCTCACCCACATTCCTCTTACATTCCCAAAGCTGCTAAATCCCATGGGATTGCTTGCTTTGGCAAATCTAAACCCTGGCTAGTGTTCAACAGAGCCATGGGGTAGGAGGCTACTATGGGCTGCAAGTGGTCCCAGGGCTGTGCCACTTCTGGCAGAGGGGACCTGATGCCCACATTCCCACCCCAAGGGAACTACCTCAGCTGGGACCACCTCCACCCTGAAGCTGGTTGCTCTTTGCTCCCAGTGCAGTAGTTATGCTCCATAGAGGAGAGGCAACTAAATGCACCTTTTCCTGATGCTGAGAGGTGGTCAAGGGCTAGATGGTAGCAGGTAGGTGATGATGGGGAGGAGACCCTGGAGCCACCAGAAAAACATGATGATCATTGTGAAGGAGTCTGTTATTATCCCAGCTCAAGGTATTGTGATTTGCTGCAAAACTTCCTCCAGCCCTGAGTAACACTGTGCTCAGGCAGGGAACATCAACAGTCTATCTCCAAATAAGCCTTTCCCTTGTTGTGCTATCATTAGAACAAATTGTCCTTCTCTGAGCAAAAACAGAGAAGGAAAGACACTGTTATCTAGCTACCGTTGACAAGCAATTAACTCGATTTTGGGTCATGCAAGCTCCTTCACTCCATGCTCCCCCATCCCTCAGTTCATGCACTTCTGCTTCCCAGCTTCTTTGTGTATCACACCAAGAGACTGTCCCTGCCTCTCTGGGTCTTTGGTCCCCTCTATCCTACTAATAGCTACCAGCCTCCAGCTTATCCATTTGGCCCCATGGAATCCCCTCATTGAAGCTGAGAAGCCTGGTCTCCTTCTGGGCATGCATAATGCACCAGGGTGTCACTGCTCAGGGAGCCCGAGACCACCTTTCAGCTTTCGAACCTGGCACTCACCTTTTTGAGGAGGGGCCTGCAGCTTTGCCACTCGCTCAGGAGGAGACTTCCAATCCAGCCCACGCAGCGGTAGCAGGAGGATGCAGACCACAGAAGAGTTTATCTGGGCAGCTCGGTCATCCCAGTCGCTCCTACCTGCTGCTCCGCTGCCTCCCCCTCCCTGCCACCAGCTCTGCTCTCTCTCCTCCCGAAGCTCCTCTCCTCTCTCTCTCCAACTCCTCCTTTTCCCTCCCTCTGCTCTTGCTGCTGATCCATAGTTCTCTTGGTTTTTTTTTTTCCCCTCTCCCTGAGGTTGGGTTTGAAGTTAACTCCTCTCTGCCCAGTTTTCCTGCAGGCTCAGCTGCTTCCTGCTTCTCCTGCTGAGAGAGGGGTGGCAGAGAGAAAGCTCGTTACTCTCTGGTAGCAAAGGGAGGATGGAGGGGGAAAGGGTCCCTAGGACCTCAGTGGCCACCTCTTGATGCTGTGTGTTTAGGACGTGTTGTCCAAAACGTGTTGTTCTCTGGGGAATGTAAGCCTGTGAGCCTGGTCCCTGCCCTGTCCCTTGAATATAGGGTCCTAAACCCTCTGGAGGATGAGCAATTAATTGCTGTCACTAGCTGTTATTAATTAATTGTTAATAGCACTGAGCAGATTGAGCCTCTCCCACAATGTCTGACCTAGGGAAGGAGAAGGCAGGTTTTGGATTCCATCCAGTCCAGGTCTCCACCCCACCAGTACTGCAGTATGGGAGGGAGGACAAGACCTCCAGCATGGTCACCTCCAGAGATCCAGCTCCATCACAGCTGCACGGGACACAGTGGGGCTGGTTGATGTGCCAGGAGAAGACAGTGACCCACATAGCCCGCCTGTCCTGACACTCTGCTGCCGTGTCCATCCTGGTGACAGGACCTGTGTCCTGAGGACTTCCAGGTGCGCTAAGACTGAGCGCAGCTTGGTGATCCTTTCTCAGCAAGACTCAAAGGCCGCCAGCTTCCTTTCACTGGGAAAGCTGTGGGTACCTCTTCCAGTGATGGAGCAGGATGTGGAGAAGGAGGCGCTGGCCCCTTCCCCTCCACAACAGCCTAAACTATCCCCATTAGCTCTGTGGCAGGAGGGACGATACAGCTTCTCCTCCCTACCTGCCCTTCTGGTGGGAAGGAGCGAGGTGTCCCCGCCAGCTCCCTATCAGCCGCTGTAACCAGGGAAAAGGGGAAGGCCATGCCTCGGGACGCGGCGATAACCCAGGGGATGTGGCAGAGTGCGAGCCTGCAGCCAGGCAGAGCCTGCCACAGTGCTGCTCGCCATGGAGGGACCACACCGCAGCTGCCTCCTCCTCCTCCTCCTCCTCTGCCTGTTCCCACCGCCGGGCATCCCAGGCCCACCGCCGCCTCTGGAGGAGCCTCGGGAACCGCCGCTGCCGCCGCCCAGCCCCGCTGACCCCACCGCTCACCTGCTGCGCGGCCACCCCTCGGCCCCAGTGCGGCCCTACAGCCTGTCGCTGTCCCCTGAGGATTATCGCTACGCCCCCAAGCCCCGGCACCTGCGCCCCGGGCGGCTGCGTCGGCTCCTGGGCTCGGCCTTCGACCCCTTCTGGATGGCGACCGAGGAGCCCCGCAGCCGCAACGGGAGCGTACTCGAGGAGAACTTGGAGTCCATGAGCAGGGACCTGGCCGAGGGTGCCGGGCGCTATCACCGCAAGCTGTGGCGAGAGGTGGAGGGGCTGGAGCTGCCCCCCGAGCTGGCGGGGGCCCTGGCCCGCCGCCTGCGGCAGTGGCTGGTGGAAAGGGCCACCTGCCGCCTCATCTCCGCCTGGGTGGACCTGGGACCCGTGTTCTGGCCGCGCTGGGTGCGCCACACCACGTGTGAGACCGGCGACCCCGGCTGCTCCTGGCCCCCTGGCATGGCCTGCCGGCCCGCACAGCTCACCCGCATCAAGCTGCTGGCCTGGCACTGCTGGAGCCCGCAGCAGCCCGGCCCCCCAGACTGCACCTGGCGGCAGATCCCATACCCCGTCGTGGCTGCCTGCAAGTGTTCCTGCCGCTGAGGGGCTACGGAGGTACTGCCCGCTGCCTGTCCTTGCGGCCGAAAGGCCTGAATGTCTGCCTGGACTCACCCTGGGAGCTGGGGGAAAATCCTCCGAACACAAATAAACTTCCAGGAAGGACGTGGGGATGGCTGTGGTCGTTGCTCTGTCTCGCCGAAACCCCCGGGTGGGGGGGTGCAGCTGCTTGGCCCCTCATTCAGCGCTGTGAAGCATTAGCACCAGCAGAAGCCCTTGCGCAGCATTTACCTCCAGCAAAGGATGAGGGATGAGAGACGGAAAAATTATGGCACTGAACAGCAGGTTCAGACCCCATTTGCACCAGCCCCAGTCGGCTCCGTCCAAACTGGAGCATCCCTGTCTGCCTGCACGGGGCTGCAGGCAGGGAGTCAGGGCAAAGGAATTCCGGCAGAGAAAGGGTAGAGGTGGGTCACTATTGGGGTGGAAACAGCAATGTGGAGGGGCTGGAGTGAATCAGTGGGCAGTGGGGTAGTTTGGGACTGCAACAAGACAGCCTAGCAAGGGTAGAAGAAGTGGGGGGTGGCTCAGGACCCAGAGCTGGAAGCATTTTGGGGGCTAGGCATGTATGAAAATGGGATGGGATAAGATAGTCCCCTACTTGTAGGTAAAATGGGTGAAATACATGCATCCCCCACCTTATCCCATGGTGCAGAGGGTGAGAGCTCCAGATTCAGGACTGCCTGAGCAGCATACAGGGTATGGGGTAGGTCAGGGTACCTAGGGTGGGAATTGCATTTTCAAGAAGTGGTATCTACCTCTACATTCCAGTCAGCAAAATTTCCTCTGCTTTCTGGGCTAAAAGCTACCTAGAGCTGTAGATCGGACCTAGGCTGGAAGGCCTTGAAGCAATAAAGAGCAGGAGGATTTGCCTCAATTAAGTATCACCATGATGCCTACAGGTCAATGAGTATGGCATTATTCAGTGCCAGTGTGCCATCATCTGACCCTCCTGCCTTCCCAGGATTCCAGCACTGCACAGTCTGTTCCCCAGACAGCTCCACAGTCTGCTGCTGAGCATGGCCTTGAAGGAGGCAGAGTGCAGGGAGCTGGCTGCCGATGGACCTGAGAGATACAGAGGTGAGAGGGAGGTCATTGCCTCTGGTGAGGAGAGGAGCAGAACGGCGAGCCCACATGTGCATGCAAAAACAATAAGAAGCATCACAGGAGGGAGGCTGCTGTTACTGCTCTGGCCTGCAGCTGAGCAGAGAGACACCTGCTCTGCCACTGAGGAAGACTTGAAAGCTGGAGCAGGGTTAAACTACTTGGGTTGTGGAGGCATCACAAGAGATGCCTGCAGAAGGCCAGGGAGAGGGGGAGTCCAGGGCTGGGGAGCAGCAGGAGAGAAACGTGAGGGAGGGTGGTAGAGGTGTGCAATGCAAGTGTGCAGGTAGGGAGAGCAAGGGGCACGCACGCATTGGGCTCAAAACAGCAGTGATTCAGTTTAGGGTCTCACACTCCCTAGACCTGAGCCCATCTGGCTGAACTTTGCTCTCAGGCCCCTTGTGCAACCAGAAGAGATGAATCTCCCTGCCTTCCCCACTACATTCTCCATGCCAAAATACTGCCTGTTGAAAAGGATTTGAAGCACTGTAAAAGCCCAGTGCCACAGAATTCTGTTTTGTCCTTTATCAGCAGGCTGAGTTCAGGGCCTGTGGAGATGGAAGATTAAACAAAATCAGCACAGTTACACTACCAGCTGTTCTAACAGGGTTTGGTTGCAGTCCTGTTGAACATACAGGACACATTTCTTCCCTGTCCTTTGCATCCTTGTAAAGCCCTACAATCCTGGATTAACACCTGTATTCTTCTGCAGTTGCTCTGGCTCAGGTTCATTATTGCCCTGTAGCTTGCTCCCTGACAGCAGAGTGACATATAAGGGCTTCAGAACAGGTCTTTGCTGATGTGACCCAGTGCTCCAGCACCCAGGCACAGCACACTCCATTTCAGCTAGAATCAGTCCCTGGCTGCAGCTACTCGTTCAGCACATGGGCAGCTGCCAGGACACACAGGTTCTGATCTGGAGCAAAACCGGTACAAACAAAGCAATCCTATGAGATACCCAGGTCCCATTTGTGCCTTTTTGAATGCTGAAATACTACATCAGCACAGCTTGGAGGAACAAATCCAGAGATTTCTGCCACACGGAAAATTAAAGGTTTCTGTCACCTGCTCTGCCCCGGCCTCAGTCATATGCAGATCCTCTCACCATGCTGCTGTCCTTTCCCACCTCACCTAGCCCACTGCCTGATGGGGGAAGATGTCTTTCCCAGGGCAGGTTTGGGACCACTGAAGTAATTGGCAATGCCTTATAGCTGGGGAGCAAGCAAGCCTCACATCTAACACCTGAGAGCGAGAAGGAGAGAAAGGAGCACCAGAGCTTTGGCTGGCCCATGTCCTCTTTCCCTAACCAGCTGCCAGTGGCACAGGTTGCAAAGGGCTTGGGAAATACCCCTGCCTCAGTGGGGAATTGCAGCAGTCAGATCTGCCAGGGTGATGCTGCTGGACCCACAGGACAGCACAGAAGAAGCAGGCAACCTCAGGCACATCAGCAATGCTGTATTTCCATCAGCAGGAGACAGCAGGAACTGCAGCGCTTCAGCATCTGGACTGAGGCTCCAGGGAAGACATGGCAGAATGTCTAGTCACAGCATAAGGGGATGGGGTGCAGCTCCTGGATGAGGAAATAGGAGGCAGACAAATATCCGCTGCACCACAGGACACCTTTAATGACACTTATAAGTGCTGGTTGCCAGTGCTACGGCCAGCCAGCTGGCTGACTCGTGATGCAGGCTGTGATGCCTTGAGGAACCGTCCTGCTTTTGGTAGTGTGCTGCTCAAGCCTTTTTCCCCATCAGAGGCACTTGGTTGTGGGCAGGGATGGTGCTGAGGAGGTGTTTCCTGGCCCCTCAAGACAGCGCTCCGTGCTTCCGTCCCACCTCGGTGAAGGCTTCCACGCAGCGGTCAATGTCCTCATCGCTGTGCACAGCTGAGATCTGGACCCGGATGCGCGCCTTCCCCTTAGGCACCACAGGGTAGCTGAAGCCAATGACATAAATCCCTGGGGAGGAAACGCAGGCAGAGTCAGAGCTAGCTGGGATGGAGGCAGGCTGAGGTGTACTGGGTGACAGAAAGGTTCCCCTCCAATAACCACTTCCAGGCTTCAGGGTTTTCAAGTGCCATCTGCTCCCAAGCACGGAAATGAGATTAAGGGCCAGCAATGGGGATGGAGTCCAGCATAACAGGACAAGAGCATTAATGTAAATCCCCTCCCTAACAAAGAAAGAAGATGCAGCCAGCAACATCTGAGGGAGACCATGAGAACATATGCAGCTGGAGAAGTACTGGATTTCATGCAGGAACATCCTCTGAAGGAGGGCTTGTGGTGGCACCACTGCCAACTGTCCCTTCCCTCAGGCAAGGTGTCTGCATACTAAGGTCCCTCCCCAGATCACCTCTGTTGAGCATGTCCTCTGCCATCACTGATGCCAGCCGAGCATCCCCCAGCATGACTGGACAGATGGGGTGGTCTTTCCCTGAGATGGTGAAGCCAGCTGCAGCCATCTTACTTCTGAACCTGGTGAAGGGAACAACAGGATGAGTAAAAACCTCAACAACCCAGTCCTTGGAGACCTGCCTGCCTTTCACCTGAGAGCCCTGGCCACTGAGAACTGGGTAAAGTTGGCTCCACTGTTCATCTTCTGTGCAGAGAAGAGACCTCTCCTCTTGGAGTGACCTCCTGCCATGTCCTGCTCAGCATAATGGGACTGCAGATCCTTGAGTGGACAATGCACCCCAGCTCACAGAGTATCCAGATGTGACACATCTGCCTGACACAGACAGGCACATCCTGCAGCTTCCCCTGAGCCCTGACTTGCAAACTGTCTTCACAGCTATCACCGGGAAAGGGGGGGGTGAATAAATCACAGACAACTCTCTCCTAACAAAGCTGCCCCTGCTCCCACCTCAATACGGCCCCCTCACCGTTGCGTTTTGGCAGCCATAGACTGTGCAATGGCATTGCTCTCCATGAGCAGGTCCAGGGCCTTGGATGCACAGCCCACCACGGCAGGGGGCAAGCTGTTGGAGAAGAGGTACGGGCGGGAACGCTGGCGGAGCAGATCGATGAGGGGTTTGGGACCTGTTGTGTACCCACCTGCAGACAGAGGAGAGAGAATTGGACAAGGCACCCCAGGGTAACCTGATTAGAGTGAGGCTTCTTCATAAAGGCAACCTGGCACCTCTAGTAGGTATTTAGGTACAAACCAGGTCTAAAAATCACAGCTGATGCTTTTGACCAAGAGTTTCCACCTTTGACCCCAAAGGTACATGCATGAGAAAGATGACAGTGTAAGGAGCACATGATTGGATCTCCCTTAATCCTGCAGCAACATCCCAAACCAAGCCTCATGCCACCAGTGGAAAAGGTTAGCATGCATTTATTACTCTATCATTAGGCAGAGGAAGGAAGCATAAGACTGATGCTCTTTAGGGCATGAGGACCCTGGACAGGAAAATGCCTTCACCTGCAGCTCCTCCAAGAGCTTTTCCCAGGGTAGAATTGATGATGGTGACTTTGTCCATCACTCCCAGGAGCTCATCAGTACCCCTGTAGAAAAAGGAATGTCATATTATCAGCTGTGCCAGCACGCACCAGGGAAGCTGCTGGATACCTCAAACGAAGCACTGTCAGCCAGGTCTCTGTCATCCTTCCTTCTAAACAAGGAGGAATAGTCCCTTGAAATAGTTCAACCCAAGTGCTGACGTTCCTCTCATGCAGAAAGCCTAAGCTGGGACCTCACAAAGTAAGAGCATGGGTTCTTCATCCCTTCGAGATGGGCAAGTGCTCAACTTCCCACACAGAAGTTTAATAGTCCAAACAAAGCACCTGTCAGGAGAAGTGGTACCCAGATGAGATGGTCACACCATCCATTACACACTGAGAAGCAGCTGTCACTTGGGGATGGATCACTGCTAAAGTATCT